AGGATGTGGCGCTATTCATACCAGTGGATGATTGAAAAGAAAATTGAATCTCTTTTGATGTGATAAATGTGTCTATTACTGCATTTGCACACAAAATGTCGGTGCAAATTATAGTGGGGTGGCATGGCTCACAGGGAAAAATACATAGGGAAGGCATATTGGCTAGATTTGATTGGAGCTGAAATATAAATATACTGTACTGGTAGTAAAATGAGTCGAAGCTCCCTGAATTTTCCACAGGAACTTCACAAATGAAAGGCCTTGAGAGCCCAAATTGTAAGACTATATAAAAAGGTTAAATGTCTTCAAAGCACTGTCTCTCTCTTCTCCTCCTAAAATAGCTGTTTGATAAAGGACATCAACAACTGTTTGCGATGCAGTGAAAGGGAATTTTAGTATATTTTTCTTTTTTCAAGAACTCCTTAAAGAAAGGAAAACTACCAAGGAAAAAGGTAGATGTTTCATTTCAGAAACATTTTAGTGTGAAGGACAGGTTCTATTACATTTCAAAGGCAGCCTGCAAAGTATTTAGAGCACTTTTTAGCTACTTCACAGTAGAATGTTATTGAATTTGTGTAAACCATATGAACACGACTTATTGATTAAATCTGTATACTTTAAAACATACACTTTTCTCACTTAGAAGATGATGCAATAAACAACTCTGGTGATCAAAAACAATCCAGATTAAGAGAAATAAATAAATATTTAAACACTCAGAGGAAGCTGAATAGTTGTTTAAGCAAAGCAGTTGAGGGCAAGTAGGGGCAATCTATTTGGCCACGAGGATAAGAAAATAAAATAAAAATTAAGACACTGTAAAGCACAAAGGGGGCAGAAGCATGCTCTGCTGCAAGCGGTAGTGCTGCATTCCGTAATGCTTTGGAAAAATAACACAAGGCTAGCAATCTTCGAATCCTTCATCTCATTTTCAAATGTACACGTACAGTGTCCTTTTCACGTATTTACACACACTTCTTTCTTTCTCATTCTTGTTTTTCAATATTTAATTCATTTTATATTCATTTTATATTCATTTTCTGAGAAGAGATCATTCGGGACAAGCTCTTTAAATAAAACTTCATAATGTATATATATGAAATAGCCAGGAAACATGACACCAGATTTGGACAGAAACTGTAATCTTACTCAGATCAGAGAAGTTGCTTAGAGCTGCAGAAGGCAGCGTTTACCAACCGGGCTTACGTCTCGTTAAGTTGCGTTTTCTGTTGGTGTCATAAATTCATGAGATTTACCCGATTATTAAAATAAAAGAACATAACTCTGTAAATTAGATTATTATTATTAAAAGCAACTCTGACCAAATGCAGGTTGAAAAAAATCAAATGTAAAAGAAACTTTAATCTTTGGGATTTACTTCTAGCTGGCCCTGGACATAAAGGGAAAATCAGTTGTATGTTCTCATTACCGCCACCAGCTGGATTGAAGGTGTATTGCAGTTTCTCTCAGGCTGACTGTTTAATGGGAAAGCACCCAGGATTCCCATTACCGGAGGCTTTAATTCCAGGGGTGTTCCGCAGGAAAAAGGCATTTGTTTCCCATCTATTCAAGGATGTCTTTACATTCCAAAAAATTATCTAGAAATGAGTAAAATTGACTTAAATTAAGTGTATTTACTCTTAATTTTAACAGGTAAATAATGTGATTTGCCTGTGGAATTAGTTAATTACTCTTAGAATAAGATAATCAAATAATATGCAATTGAAATAATACTATATATTTTTATTATTATTATTTTGAATGTAAACTGTCTTGTTCCATTGGCAAAGAGTCTCACTTCCCTCCTCAAATCAAGAAAAAAATGCACAAATTTTAAGAAAAATGACTTATTTTGATTTGTATATTTGCAATGTCATCAAAGACCTTTTTACACCTCAATTATTCAGGTCTGGTAGTTCTGGGTGAAAATGAAATTAGCCTTCATTAAATTAGCTTTCATTAAAAAAAAAAAAGGTTAATCATAATTTGTGCCTCTACAAGGATGGGATGAGGGTACTTGATCAAACATTTAAATTGTTTACTTTAAAATAATAATCCTCATTACGAGTTACTGTAACGATCATCAGCTTTCTGACAAACCTCTTTATTCTACTGAGTTTGAGACACAGGCAGCAACACCAGCTCCACTCTGACCCTTACATTTATAATCAACATGCTCATCCGTCTTTTTTGCTACAGAAAATCTTTGATGATGAGACTCCCTTTGATACCAAGTGAATTTTATTAGGGTCTCAGCGTTTGCAAAACATTTGTTTCAAGATGATCAGCGCATTCGTGACTTCTAGGCAATTACTGTAATGATGCAAAGTAGTAAACACTGGGCCAGCATGTAAATTATTTAACAGGCTGAAAACATACTGCTCTAATGTTTACCAAATCCGTTTTAATGTTTACAGACGGATTGTGTTAAGACTTTCCATGGTGTTGAACAAAAAGGAGAATTCATGTTTGAATGATTAAACTGCAGGATTCTTGAATTTGCGGCTCAGATTCCTCTTTGAAAACTTCACTGGGACAGATGAGGCAAAATTCATCTGCAGTCATTTAGAGAGCAAACCTCTTCTTATTGAACATAAAAAACATTGCTTATATGGCATTGAACATAAAACATTTCTTATTGTTGGTGAAGCTGGGAGTACATTTACACAAAAAAAAAACATCCCTTGTACTGCTTTTTAATACAATTTAATTTGCCTTTATGAATTAAATTAAACATTAAGTTCTACAAACTTTAAATGATCTCTCAATTAAAAGACAAAGAAAATGACATGGCTGGGTTTAAATGATATATTCGATTTTTTTTTTCTTTCTTTTAATTAGAGAGCTATTTTCTTTACGCTCTACATCAGGGGATCCCAAATTTTTCAGCTTCACCCCAAAAGTAACAATGCAACACACCGGTGACCCTTAAAATACATAGTATAATTACTCTACTCTATACTTATTTATATATTTAAAGTAAAGCAATTATATATTATATATATAATTTATATATTATATATATAATTCTGTTTTTAAATGTATGTTTATTTATAGAGACATTTATATTTACATTTGTATTTACATATATATATATATATATATATATATATATATATATATATATATATATATATATATATATATATATATATATATATATATATATATGTATACATATACATATATATGAATCATGCATTAAAGTAAATAGATACATCTTTTATCTGCTCATTTCATGGAACCTTTGTTTATTTCAACGGGACATTCACAATTATGCATTCTGTTTTATATTTTGTTAAATAAGAACTATAGTATTTTACAAATGTGGCTTTTGGAGAAAATTTGGCATTAATAAATCTAGTCTTGAAAGAAGTTGGATCATCCAATCTGTCAAAACTGGCAAAGATCATTGTTTTAAATACAGCCCCCACATTACATTTCAGAGTATCTAAGTAAAAAATGATTTTTGTTAACATTTTCCCCTAATCTTAAATGATGATGATAATACTGGGTTATGATTATAAAGTAATACATAGGGAGCATGGTTGGTTTACCTGCAGAAGTCCTCTAAAAGAGCAACTTCTGCAGGTAACAACTGCACAATGACAAACAAGGTAAAATGTGATCTCATTCTCTCCTAATATTCATCCTCCAAAATATAGAATTTAAATACATATGCAAGAAACGAAAATGCAGTTTTGCCAAGACTTTTTCCAGATAAAAAATAATTTTCCCAGACAGAGCAACCTGAGGAGCTACTGTACGTAGTTTACCGCTAACTTTTTAACAGAAAATTATTTATGGATCAGTGCTTGTATTTTCCTGTTTTCTATCTGCTCCTGTCTTCTGAAACTTCCAACTGGCCTCAGCAGAAGACCACTCAGACTGAGCCTGGCTCTGGTTCAGCTGAAGGTTCTTTCCAGTTAAAAGGGCATTTTTCCTCTCCCCTGTTGCAGCATGTAGTATGAAAGATTGATGTAGATCAGTGGTTTTTAATGTTGGTCTTCAAGTTCTACTGCCCTGCATGTTTTAGATTTCTCCTCACTGCCATTAATCAGATTTATATAAATCCCTGGATGTAATCTTAATGTTTGTTTGTTTTTAGATACCGGTAGCCAACTTTCGATCTGATTTGTTTCTCTAAACTCCCTTGGGATGACAGGTGTTGTCAATCGACACTTTAAAAATAACCTGAGTTGAAAATTAATTGAATACGAGATATTTCATTGTCTCTAGGTGTGGTAAATAAGAGTTGGTAAATAAAAATAACAATATTTAAACTATTTGAATCTTTGAGAATCCAGAAAAGGATGTTATGAACACAGAAGTTTTTCTATTTAGTCTGCAGTTGCACCTGTGCCTCATTTTGTCACAATGGCTTCAAACTTTTTTGTATAATATTGACACAGAAAAAGGCCCCATAATTTATTTGAAGTTTGAAAAAAGGCATTGTGGATGGTAAGTGATCACAGTTGCATAGCCTCCTCCCTGCAGTTTGCACATTCTGATGATCAACATACTTTCTGCATGTTTTATGAAGGCAAATACATTACATTGATGTGCCTCCAATTTTGCTCTGTAAACAGAAACAGTTCTTGCTGTGGCCGGTTAGCAGATCAGATTTACATACATTATCAAGTTTGAAATGTTTCAGTGAACATTTCATGCAAAGCTATATTTGATTGCAGCCTTAAGGTAATTTATATATTTAATAAATGTATGAAAACTATAAGTCGACTTCTTTCCTATTCACAGTCAAGTTCTATGTTAGTCAAAAAAATAAAAAAATCACCAATAAACTAATAATAACAGCAAAAATAAGTAGAAGATGGAAGAGAAAATGCGAAAATGTTTAAGGCGTCTGACTACATTCCAAGTTTTTAAAAGTAACTTTTTTGTCTTTTAAATTCTGGTCCTATCCAGCTCTTCCCCTGCTGCCAAACTTGATCCACAGGTAGTTAATAAGTAAACTCCAGTAGAGGGGCTGAAGATGACCACAGGAACATTGGCCCCAGCTGCTGAGTCATACAAATGAACAATTTCACTGACTTCTAGGTGCAGCAAATCGGCCTCTTAACCGTACAGAGGAGGTCAATGCTGGGTTTATTTAATCTCTACTGGAAGAAAAGATTATCTCCAATCTGGCCTCAAATAAACCTTTAAGCAGGTGTTGAGTCTCAACACCTTTCCGCAAAGTTCTGAAGCAGTTTCTGAGGGTATTGTTTACTCTATTTAACATGGATCAAGAACTTGGATGTTCTCGGGATCAACTTCTCCATGTAGACATTACTATTGATGAGCAAGAACCCAGGGAGGGAATCTTAAACCTTGTGAGGAAACTCCGTCCAGACTGGAAGGCACAGCACATCCAGATGAAGGTACGGAAACATAATCCTATTACCACTGGTTTTATGAAGGATCGTTGAGTTCATTTTTTTATGATTTTTTCTTAAAAACTTTAAACCATGCCACAGAATATGCTGTTATTTAAATAAAATTGCAGACTAACAAGTCAAAGATCATTTAACCAAGCTAATCATGCTGAGAGTGATGTTTTTCACTCAATCTGTTTATAGGGCAGGGTTTTATTTTAAATAGGAAGCCAGTATAAACCCTCAATGCTCTTTAAAAAGCTACTTGAAACCAAAGTAAATGAGCCATGCTGAATAAAATGACCTTCAAGATGAAAGACTGAAAGGCCAAAATGTTTAAACCAACCTACTGAGTGAGGAAGGAACAAAATCCCAAATTTTTAACCAGAACATGATGTAATCAGCAATCAGCCGCTACAGGATGTCATTTGCAGGATCAGTGTTTTTGCTTTTCACTTGATGGTATAGCAGAACCCCTCCAGTAAAGTAGAACAGTAACCTCAGCATAAAACCTTTTTTGCAGATTGCTGAAGGAAACATACCTATAGTAAAAGTATTTTTTCGCCACAGTCAGAGATTAACTTCAATAAACCTCTTCCTACGTTCGGAAAACCATAAATGTTAATCTTTCAAAAGATTTCTTAAAACTTTTATGGAATTCAAACCTTTACCGCTAATTACTCATTTGGTGTTCACCTTCACAGCTCGGCCCTTTAATCAAGGTCAATGGGTTAGTAGGGCGCCCTCTATTGGCCAACCGCCGCTGCTTCAGTTGTCTGGTAATTATACCCCAGGGTGAACCAGATTACAAATCCCTAATATTTTGGCACATCATTTCATGATGCTTTGCAAAGCCACAGGGTATGCCTTAAATAAACCAATTTAGATTAGCTTAGAATAGGACATAGTTTTATGTATAAATATGTTTTATGTTCAATAGAAAATAATACCCAGCTGACCTAAAACAAGAAATGTTTTAGTGAATTTAATGTCAGCGAGAACAAAGGTAAAGTGTCTTTTATACAGTTTATATTAATATCTAGATTCCTTGTAAGTTTCCACCATTCCATAAAGTATTTTTCTCTTTTGTTTGAAATTTCCAAATTAATTTTGATGCAATTCAAACCTTGATTTTAAGCCCGATCCAACATTAAGAACTAGATATTTATTTCAAAAATCATCTTCCATGAAAAAATCTTTAAGAAAAATCCAAGGTAGCTGTACAACAAAGTAAGAATTTAGAAAGAGTTTTTATTTGTGTACTTTCAAAGCATCCATTGAAGACAGGGGGAAGACCATTCTGGTCCCATGTGCAAACACAAGGTCCAATCTTTCAGAGAAATAGGGTTTATGTTTGTTAGGTGACTTCGCATCGGCCGTGTGACCTCTCAATCTATACCAGGTCCTGGAAAGTACACAGAGGAGTAGATGTTTCCCTTTAGAGCTCAGATCACACAAATCATTTTAATGATGTATTGTGTTCGTCAGAGTAAGGTCAGACAGTTCCTGCTGTCACACCTGTGCTTTGGCATGGACTGTGTTCAGTCTGTTAGAAGTGCTTTTTCAATTAGTTTCCTCTTTAGTCACCATGTTCCTTTTCATTGATTTACCGTAAGAAATGGAAAGATCAATTTGAACATAATAACTTGGCTGTAAACCCTATATCCATTCATTTGAGATTTAATATTTCACACTTTCTTTTGAAGGACATTTAGAAGAAAACATCAAAAATAATCAAAAAGGACACATTTGAAAGAAGGCAAATACATTCTCAATCATTTCACTGAACTTAGAATGTAGGGGGGGAGAAGTTCAGAAAGAGGAAACCAGACAAGCCCTCATTTAGTGCCTCGCATAGTATATTTTTACACTATAACATTACTGAAAGGTGTTTAGTTTGTAAAATAGAAAACAAAGGTTAAACTCGGAGCATCATTCCCGAATAACATATAAAATTATCAGTGAGAAGAAAAACACCTTAAAACTCTGAATAGTGCAACATTCAGTACAAGACTGAAAGACATGTTCAGAAAAATTAACAGCTCTAAACAAGACAGGAGCAAAATAATGACCATTATTGAAGAAAGATAACCAAAAACCATGAGTTCAAATACACTGATCATAGCGAAGACCAGAAGTTTCATCTGGCTTCTTTACAGACATGTTAGTCAACATAAACAGAACTACAGGGGTCTGCAGAACTTCTGGGAGCTTCTTGAAGAGTGCTCATTTGCGTACCACCAATAGTGTGTGAGTGTGTGTGTGAATGGGTGAATGAATGTAGTGTAAAGCGCTTTGGTCAAGTCTCCTAACTTGAATAAAGGCGCTATATAAGTACATGCCATTTACCATTTTACCATTTACCATTTACTGAAGGGAGACTTGAAGATCTAATGGTTTGTGGTCTAAGTTGTGACTAAGGATGGCTACTCTGCATTGGGTTCAATAAAGTCATAAAAGAGCCACTTTGTCTCCACCTATAAGAGCCGCTTGATTGATTGATTGATTGATTGATTGATTGATTGACTTTATTGATCTCACAGTGAAGAAAGTTACTTTTCACATCAGTTCAAATAGTCAAAGAAGAAGAACAATGTGCCAAAGGAAGAAAAAGGTGAATGGAATATATACGTATATACAATGTGACCACATATGAAAGCTTTTTTCTTTTTTTTTATAGTAGGATCATTATATCGGGTTTTGCAAAGGACGTTTACATGGGTATTTATATAGATGAATATTTAGATTTATATATATAGTTTTATATATATATATATATATATATATATATATATATATATATATATATATATATATATATATATATATATATATATATATATATATATATATATATATATATATATATGCAATACATCCCTGTAATGAGCCTTATTGGTTGATGTTTCTAAATCATGTAACAAAGAGTGGTCTGAATGGACGAGTGAGCCTCTGGTATGAATGCCTTCTTCTCTTTATGATTTTGAGCTTGAGTCTATAAGAATAATGGAAAAAAGAGCATTATGAATGAACATTGGCATTAATATATATATTTTGTTCAAAATTGCATCGGGGTAGCGGGAAAAACTCTGTGGCGATAGGACAGCAGCTGCTGCGCTGCATGACTCTTTTACCACCACAGCATTAGGAATCATTTAGACACTAGCTTGGTTGAACATCTGCCTCCATGTTCACCAAATTGTGTGCATTAACACCCTGCCAACTTTGTTGCCATATAAGCAACAATAAGCTTTTCAAATTATCCCAGCATTCCCTTCTACTGCAATGCACTTAACAAAGTACTTGCTTGGAGGTGGAAATTAACTGGAAATACCCATTGAACTTGTCTATTAACTTGAGGCAGAGGCTTAAGCAAAAACACAGTGAAAAATTAATATACCACAATTGTTTACTATCAAAGATCCCAGTTCAATTCAATTTAATTCAATCCAAAAATACTTTAATAATCCCAAAGGGAAATTAGATGTTGAGGTAACTCACAGGTTGATTTTTAAGCAAGTGTTAATAGCAGTGTGCAGGAAGGATCTTCTGCAGCGGTCTGTCTTGCACCTGATCTGGAGAAGCCTCTTATGGAAGACACTCTGTTGTTGTTTCAAAATCTTCTTCAGATGATGCTCACTTTGTAAAGAATGGGCTTCACTTAATGAAGAATTCTTCTTTGTGAAATAATCTCCAGAGGTTCTAGAGGAGTTCCTAGAACAGAGCTGCCCTTCTTAATTAGCTTGTTAAGCTTTTTTAAGCCTTTGTAAACTACTCCTTTTGGGTGGTACAATGAATAGTGAACTGATAAGACTTTGGCAATAGATACACATCAGGATACGTGTATAATGATACGATTTATGATGTTATATCTAGAAGATAATAACAAAGTACTTTGTGATTTTTATAAATTGGCTGGTGCAGAGCAGCTGAATAATTGGCTCTCAGGTGGTGCACTGCTAACTAGTGGCTCGAGGGTAAAGAGTTATAAGACAATGAAATATATGTTTGCTTGTATATATTTCTTGCTTTGAATAATCAAATGAGATGTCACTATATTTGACACATAGAGATTATTGCAGTGATTTATGCTTGATTGTGGATTGCTCTATTACAGGCTAAATATCACAGCTTAAATGCAGCAATAAAACCACATCATCTACAAAAACATAAGAATTTGATCCTGAGGTTCAAAAACCTAAAACCTTTTTTCACAACCCTCCTTTTGATGATAAGTAACAGAATTAATTATAAAGATGACAATGAAATGTGTGTGCTAAGACTCAGTCTTTATTTTCATATTAATTTGAAATAATTTATCATTTAAAACAAATGAGATCAAAAAGAACACCACAGATACAAGTCGGGCAAAAAAGAACTTAATTGCAAATGTCAAAACCAGCCTTCCACCCTCTATGAATGATAGATCAGATGTCAAAATGGCGATGTTTCTTCAATCTACCTAGATGAGAAACTGTGTTGTGTTCATGTCCCTGTGGAGGCTCAGAAAATACTTCAGGGACTGCAGTGCAGAATTGGAAACCCCTGAATGACACCAAGCAGGCTTTGGAGGCAAACAGTGGCCAATGTGGTGTCTTTGTGTACACAAACAGGCAGTACAGACTGTCCTGGAACACTGCTGTGCTGCGAAGCGCACACCTGTGCATTTTGCTCTGCTTTCCTTCATAAATGATTTCTTTTATATCTGTTGATTTTTTTTCTTTGCAATAAGCTTTCCCATTTCTAAATCAGCTGAAATGCATTTTAAACTCAAAATCCAAACAATTTTATTTATAAAGCACTTTAAAATATCCTAAGGGCTAAACTGCTGTAAAGTGACCAACAGCAAACTGATACACAGACTCAGAGGACTTAAATTAGATAAAAACAAAGTAAAAAAAATAAATAAAATAAAAAATGTCTGTCATAAAAAAAGCATGGACAGCATGGACGCAATTTTCGGGGGGGACCAGGGGGACATGTCCCCTCCACTTTTTCAAACATCC